CTGGCTTTCACAGGTTTTACGGAAGTTTCCGCTAACAAAGAGCTATAGAAAAGTGCTAAGACTGCATCCTGTCAAAGGCGGAAAACTTTCGAGACCCGGAAAAACAAGGCAGTCCCGTTGAGTTTCAGCTCTCACAGGTTTTACTGTATCTGAGTTTTCCTTCTCTGACAGGTTTCCGCCTTACACAGTTGCCGGCTTTCATAGGATTTACTGTATCTCCCTTTAAAAAGGAAGCTGCAGAGGAGGTGCATTAGCTTTGGGTGCAGCTACCTAGTTTATAAAGTCAGCCATGTAAAATTTCATGCCCAAATGACAACAGACTTTCTGTCCATTCTTGTTTGTTTTTGTGGGGTTCTCTTCCAAGCACTAGTCTAAGGAATAAAGTCTTCTAGCATAAAGTTTTGAGCTAAATAAATACAATCAGAAATAAAGTTTTAAGTTAGTGTACTCCTAGCCTTTACATACATGCACATAAAAATTAGTTGTTGCTGAGTTTTTAAGGATTCAAGACACAAGCTTAGACAATGCATTTACAAGAAATTCGAAAGCAAAAAATGTACAGATGTAGGAACTGGCTTTTAAAAATTTGGTCTTCAGAGTTCTGAATTCTCAGCCTTAAGGTAAACTTAAGATAGTTTTATTGACAAAGAGAGAAAAGAGAAATACTATGCTTTGAAGTAGAAATATTATTGGCATGGTTTTTAGGCTGCTGCTTTTATGACATAGTAAAGAATAATTTTTTTTTATTTTTTAAAAAATGCTGAGAAGCAGAAAGAGCATGCATTCAACAGCGTGCCCCACTAACTTAAAGCAAAGCAAAGCAAAAAAAAAAAAAAAAATTTAATAGACAGCGGCAAAATGATCAATTTTCTTGAAAAATTATATCAAGAAGTCAAATTTGCAAGTCATTCAGAGCAAAATACATGTTTATAAACATATAAAACACAGAGTCCCTACTTTCAAAGAATTTATAAGCTAAAAACACAGGGAAAAAAATACTTTTGGAAAAAATTATAGGTCATGAGACGTGACAGATGCTTCATCAATAAGGAAGTCCCTTTTTTTCCTAACTAGTAAATTTTCAGATTTTCACACTGACATAAGTATGCTTTAGTGCTCCAAGACAATAAAGAAACATAGAATCTTAAATTTCCTGTCCTCCTTCCTTTTAAAACCGCCTTGTCTTCTGTAGGAGCCCTTCTAGCTGTCTTTCACATTGCTATTTGTTGAACACAAATTAGCAATTTCTAAAAACTAGATGAAGAATTGAGATATGACACCACAAATGAAGACCTTTCAAAGGTGAAAAGAGCTGAGCACACTGTAGGCTTTAAATTATGCCTTTGTACTTATACCTGTGGGGCTTCAACACACCCAGGTTTTCATTAGCTCTATTATTTCTAGTCTGTAGGCCTGGGAGTGGGAGCAGGTTAAGAATCAACAAAAGGAGCAAGCTGTGGGACTCTTGATTAGATGGAGAATTTCCTGAAGTTAATGTGTAGTGAGCATATGCATTTTTCAATGCATAACTTGGATTTAAATTTGCTTTTCAACAATGGAAACAAAAATGTGGTATATTCCATGCCACTAAGAGGCAGCAGGAACTGTTCACCCAGGCCTGATCTAGCCTTTGTCTTGATGTCATGGAGCTATAGCCCTATTCTACTCCCCTCTGTTGTACCCAGATTAGTTTACCCCTGACTGGAGCTGGCAATATGCACAACTCCAGAAGCCACTGTTCACATACACTACAGTGTGAATGCTGACCCTGGAGCTGGGCGACACTGAAGTACTCCTGCTAATGTGATTCTCAGGCTGCGGTGCTGCTGTGGCTCTCTCATTTGGGGCAGCGATGCTCTAAATTTCACTGCTAGAACCTGTAATGAACTGTAAAGAAATGCATGAACAGATAACTTTTTTGCAATGGCCAGTGATGAATGGTTGTCATTTACTTAATGACTGTGGGCTCTGATGAGAAGTTTAATTTATTAATCCCCTCAAAACGCAGAGGACTCTTTGGGTCGTAATCTCACTTCTCTCCTCATTCTTCTCTAACTTTGCATATTCTCTTCCATTTCTCCCAAACCTTGTGCACACCCCTCCATTTGTACCTTTCATTCTCAGTATGTCTCTCTCCTTGGCTTATATCTTCTCCCTTTCATTTTAGTCTCTTTCATCTTTCTTTCTGCTTATATTTTTTTCTTCTTTTTGTTGTTTTTTTGTCCCCAACCATTCTCAATATGTCTCCTCTTCTTCTCTCTCTTTTCTACTCTATGTCCATCCATCTCCTCTGCCTTTTTACCAACTACTTATCCTTTCTCTGGCCTGTGTCTTTAATCTCCCTTTGTTCATATCCAGCTTCTTCTACTTTTCTAGTTTCCTTCTTGCTGTTGTTTCCTTAACTTTTCACGATGGGAAAGCAAAGTGCACCTGTTTAACATTCTTACTGTAGCCCCAGACTGATTTTTCTTCCATGTCTGTAGTCGGTGCTCTTCGAGGTTTCTAAAGTAAATCTCAATATTCATAACACTTAAAGCTAGCATTTTCATTGAACCTTGATTATGTCATAATTTTACAAATATGTACAATATTTGTTGAGGAATATTTTTGTAATATATATTTTTGCACACAATCCTTAACCTGAAATCTACATATTTTCATCATTTGTTTTAGAATTCTTGAAAAATGCTTAAAATTATGTCAACATTCTCCTCAAACATGTGTCTATTTTACTATATTGACTGTGTACTCAAAAGAAGAGCCTGTTTACTTGGCCTTGTCCCATCCAATTATCATATCTGCAAGAAAGTCTGCCTTTGGGCATGATTTTGGAACTTAAATAATAATTTACAAATATGCTGAGGAAGAAAATTTCCCACATTTTTTGGCATCTGCTTCAAAAACTTAGAAAATGCAACACAAAATAAGCCAAAAGAAAGAAGTAACAGATTCATATAGATAAGAATAAAAATATATGAATTAAAAAATAGAACTAAAAGACTACATTAGATTTTTAAAAGAAAATAAGGCAAAGCTAGGTAGATGTAATTTATGAGATGGACAAGATGTGCTGTTGTTAGGTGCCATCGAGTCAGTTCCGACTCATAGCGACCCTATGTACAACGAAATACCGCCCGGTCCTGCACCATCCTGGCAATTGTTGTTATGCCTGAGCTCACTGTTGCAGCCACTGTGTCAATCCATCCCAATGAGGGTCTTCCTCTTTTTCACTGACCCTCTACTTTGCCAAGCATGATGTCCTTCTCCAGGGACTGATCCCTCCTAATAGCATGTCCAAAGTATGTGATATGTAGTCTCGCCATCTTTGCTTCTGCGGAGCATTCTGGTTGTACTTCTTCCAAGACAGATTTGTTCATTCTTTTGGCAGTCCATAGTATATTCAATATTCTTCGCCAGCACCACAATTCAAAGACAGCAATTCTTCTTCGGTCTTACTTATTCATCATCCAGCTTTCACATGCATACGAGGTGACTGAAAATACCATGGTTTGGGTCAGGCGCACCTTAGTCTTCAAGGTGACATCTTTGCTTTTCAACACTTTAAAGAGGTCTTTCGCAGCAGATTTGCCTAATGCAATGCGTCTTTTGATTTCCTGACTGCTGCTTCCATGGGTGTTGATTGTAGATCCAAGTAAAATGAAAGCCTTGACAACTTCAATCTTTTCTCTGTTTATCATGATGTTGCTTATTGGTCCAGTTGTGAGGATTTTTATTTTCTTACTGAAGGCTGTAGTCTTTGATCTTCATCAGTAAGTGCCTCAAGTCCTCTTGACTTTCAGCAAGCAAGATTGTGTCATCTGCATAATGCAGGTTGTTAACGAGTCTTCCTCCAGTCCTGATGCCCTGTTCTTCATACACTCCAGCTTCTTGGGTTATTTGCTCAGCATACAGACCGAATAGATATGGTGAAAGGATACAACCCTAACGCACATCCCCTTGTTCTGTTTGAACAACTGATGTAGAAGGTACAATCAACAAAAAAGAAATCAAGAGAGGCAACAATCAACGAAAAGAAATCAGGAATGACAAAAATCAAAATAAAAAAGAAATTAAACTATCAATTACAGTCTTCTGAGAACATACTGATCAACAGAGCATCAACACAAAGCAAGAAATAGATTGTTAAAAATATAACAGAAAGCTGCACTGTATATTTGTCAGAATTGAATGGAAAAAAATATGACACAATGGACTTTTTAAATGACTTGGATTAAAGGATAAATCAAAAATTTCTGTCTCAAATCTTTACCAAAGTATCTAAACATATATAACCGGGCCTGTGTTATATGTCAACAGAGTGATTCTTCACCTAATTTTTAATCTGTCAAAAGGTTGACAGTATGGAAAATATCTAATTATGCTAAAATAGTAATAGCAATCTTAGGAATATTTGAAATGAATCTATTATTGAAGAAATAGCAAAATAAATTCGAAAATGATTCACTTAAATAAATCTTTCCTAAGTGTAAGATTTTTCCAACTCCTTAGAAGCAGATACAAAGACATTTATGGGGGAGTTGGAAACATAAAATTTAATAATCATTGTCATAACTACCACTTATTGAATGTCTATGTTCAAGACACTGAGTTAGACACATTAGACACACAAATACACACATATGCATATATATAGTATATATATTTGTGTGTATACATGTATACAAAATGAATACAGAATTGAAATTTTGAAAATTTCATGATAGAGTTTCTATTTTTAGTCTGCTGCACTTCCCACAAAAGAATTCCATAAGATTGACTTGTATTATGTACTAATACCTATTTTAAACATGAGGAAACTGTTTCTTAGAAGGGAGTAACTTGCGCATGATAGAATATCTAGGAGGTGGTAGAGTCAAGATTTCAATTGAAGAAGAGAAACTGAGTTAAATAATGTGGCACATGATTATATATGGTTTCTGTGATTTTGAAGTTTATTGTATTAGAATAGCAGAACTACTTTGAATAGTGCTTCGCTTTACCTTACAGTGAAACGGAGAACTCTCTTCTTCATGGGAGCCTCCTTTTTCTTTGGATATTTCATTTGGACTTGTTTTATTGATGGTTTCTTCAAAGGAAGGGCACGGGCATCAATGGAGGGAAAGAATAGTTTGGAAAGTGTGTTGGCAATTCTCCATCCTATATACTTGGAAAAAGTTTCATCCCCTACATTTGGTGGAACTTTTGTACCATAACTAGTGAAAGGATCAGTTGGGTTGTTTAACTCAGCCTGTGGAAGGAAAAGAAAAAGAAACCAGTTGAAATAGAATTTAGTGTGAGTAAAAATGACCTAATATTCAATAAAAAACACAATATATGTTCAGTTAATTTTCTCTAATATTTCATTTTTCTAGTTAAATACAAATAGCGTTTTTAGGAAAAAATTCAGTCTCAGAAAGATCTAAAAAAATCATAACTATAACGGAAGAAACAATTAAGCATTAAGGAATCCCACCTTAAAATGTTGAGAATTTAAGGTTACAACTTCTGTTCTAAATTTGGTATATTTCCCAAGTCATAATTTAATAAGCATTTACAGAATTTATTTAACAAGAAATTAGACAATCAGTTGAAATAATATACATGTTTTATTGACTCAGATTTTCATTTCTCTATCTACCATCTATGCTTTCCTTTAAGTCAACAAAACATTTTTAGGAACAACATTTGTGTTAAGTGGAAAACAAACAAGGGCTCTGTATTTAGTTTAAATTGAAGATTTTCTAGGATTTAGATTTAGATTAAATTCAGTATGTCCTAACACCAAAAGAAAAAAACTAACAGAAAAAAAAATCCACAATTTTAAGCAATCTATTGGAAGGAGCTATTTTCTGAATTTTTTAATTTATGTTTGATAATGTCCAGGATTGATTTTTAATTATTTCGTCATTCGAAATGGTTAGAGGAATATTTTCCTTGGCCAGAACCCATAATAATAAATGAAGCTGTAAGTTTCAAAATGTAACGTTACAAATTTTTTTGGTCATCATATGTTCATATTAAGAAATCTCTTTCTTATGAATAAGTTGAATGATGCTTCCTTTCATTTAAGTTTTTACATTTTTTATTGAATATTATCAATCTTCATGCAGCTCATTACCAGTCACTCAGGATTCATTTTATTTACCTATCAATCCTATGGTAGAAAATAAAGGAAAGGAAAATGTTTGTCTGCATATGAATGTCAAGCTTAATCTCTTTAGGATTCCAAGATCAGGCATGGCTTAATGAAATTACTACATAAAGATTGATGATTGCATTATCTAGACAAAATTACAGTGGAAAAATTAGAACACTCTTATGCAAAGATTGAAAAAAAATCAAGGGATGAAGCAATAAGGAAAATTGCAGAAGGCAGGTAAGTAAATATGGATTACCGTGAAAGCCACAGAGGGTGGGAAAGAATAATATGAAAAAAAAAAAACCCATAAAAAGGATAAGGAGAAAATCATGCAAACATGTAAGCACACACAAAAACTAAATAAAATGTTGACCCAAAACATCTTTCATGATAGAAATACCAATACTGAAATTGAAGAAAAAGAGATTCTAATATATATATTTTTCTATTTCAGAAAAATAAACACTTTATCCCTAGCCTTCATTGAAATATATTCATTCATTCTTAAAATATCTTTGAATTATCCCTGGATGTTGAAATCGGTATACAGTAATGTTTACACTGTTCCCAGTTGTATATCTTGCTTATTAACTACGTAGAAATCATGGAAAAAGGATTCAATTTGGAACAAAAAAACCAAATTGTGTCTCTGGCTGTTGTGACTTTGAAAACATCACTTAATATTTTAAATCCTGCCACTTCATCTGTAAAATAGTAATCAAACTACCCGTGTTGTGTATTCTGCTTACCTCCCCTGGGTTATTCATTCATAAGCAAAAGATACTTCAAAATCACAGCAACATATAGTATTGCCCACACATAAGCTATTACTATGAGCTTTTCAATTACTAAGACAGTGCTGAGTGAATAAATGAATGGGTGAATGGATAAACAAACACAAATAAGTGTTCTCATGATACACTTTTTGGTCAAATGCCTTGTGACCAGAGGTAGCATTCCACTGCATTACAGAATCTTGACGTTCTTTTCATCATGTCTTCTTTGGCAATACTCCTTGCAGTAGTCCCTCCCACACTGACAGATCCAGGTACCAGCTCTCAGCACAATGAGGGCACTTAAACATTTCAAGATATGTCTCTTATTGAAACTTTCCCTCCCTTACTGATGTTCAAGGCATTTGAGTCATGAAAATGCATCAAAGGCAAACTTCTCTTATCTATAAAAGGGTTGGCTTGTTTGTTGTTTGCTTGTTTGTTTCCCTGAAAGAAGTAGCCAGGAAAGAATACAAATTTTGCAGTTTGAAAGATCTGAAGTCAGATCCAGCTCTTCCACTTACTAGTTAAGAATGCAAATTTGGGGAATTTAGTTAACCTCTCCAAGTCTATGTTTTGTTTTTAGCTTTGTTCAGTCTTATTTTTCATTTGTGATATGGGGATAAATTGCTCCTTTTATATTAGTAAATTTATCAAACAGGATCATGATTATATTTCTATAGTCATCCCTTTTTTAAAGAGTTTTCCTTCTTCTCTTAAAGCCATTACTATAGTATGTCAGAATTCAGAGACTTAAGTGCCAAAAATACATGTATATACGTCTATACTTCTTGGAAGTAGACCCACACAAAATATTAATGACCACCTCTTTAAAATAGATTCCAAATTAATGAATTTACTACTGTTTAGCCTGCCAACAGACATTACCTTAAATTCCATCTTTAACCATTATTTATGTATTTAAATTTTCATTATGTGTCCCTATTTCTTAGCAATGCCTACACAGGCTATACCATTCAAAGTTTTCTTTGTTAATGGTGTTATTGAAACTTGACATTTATTTTTTTTAACAAGAACCAAATGGAAATTTTTTAATATCTGTGTTAATTTTACTGATTTAGTATTGAAATTGGAAAAGTGTTATTCTTGAAGAATATTCCTCTCTCATACATATTCTGACCATGTACAGGGGCATATGCCCATCCTTTTGTCTTTATACTAGACCTAAAGATAGAAAAATAATCATGGGTGTCGGTGGGCAGGAAAAAGATGGATAAATTAGCACAAGAGAAAACTCCCCAAGGAATTAGAATGTTGTCACAATACAAAAAAAAAAAAAAAAAAAAAAGTCTTCAGAGTTCTGAATTTTTCTTTCAATAATTAGAGAAATACAGCAAACATCCCAACATTTGAACTAACACACACTATTCTTGATATGAGAGAAAAGGGAAGAAAGAAATGGTTGTTACGCCATTGCAGCAAAGTTTGTAGCAAACTCTTTTTCCTTCTTTCTTTCTCTCTCTCTCTGCTTAGATGTCTCCACCAGTCCATAAGCAACCTTAGTACTGGAGATTACTTTGAAAAAAATGTTATTTTTCTATTAATCTTAAAAGTTTAAACATTAGTGAATCAAAAGATTATTTCCTGCAGCATTTATAAAGTCTCACAAAGGTGGCATCATGTGTACTTCCTTCCTACCCAAATCATAATTGTCAGATCATCTCATACTTGGAAGCATATCTGAAACAGAATCTCAAGCCCAACCCTTGCATGCACATTAAAGTTTAAGAAGCACTGGTATAGTACATTAAGTAAATAACTAAATAGGAATATTACTAATTGCATGATCTTCTCTAAGTTACTTAACCTCTCTGAGAATGCATCTTTATCTCTAAAATGAGTGATAATAATACCCCCATTTATTGAAAAGATTAAAAAAAGAAAATTGAATATATATTCTAGCAGAGTGTCTGTCACACAAAAGTTCTTCAACAAATGCCAATTTCTTGTTTATACTTAATTTTGAGGAGAGCATGCGCTAGTGGAAACAGCCTTTGCATTAAGCTTACTCACAGGTGCATCTACCACCAGCCACTTATTTCACTTCCTTTTCAACTTAGATTCCCCCATCTGTATAGATGGTGATGATGGGACTACGTAAGATACTTAACACAGTGGCTGGCACATTGTAAAGGCCCTACAAATATCATTTTTGTCTGTTTAAAACAGCATGTCTGTTAACATCAGTGCTTTCTTGATAAGTATTTAAAGGACTGTACTCTTCCAAAAATACATCACCCTTTCCACACCCAAGAGTTTCCATTTATTTCAAAAGAGCCATATGTGTAGGAGGAGGGAGATAGGCACCGAGAGAACAGAGACAAATAGTGTTGTTTGTTCTATTTTGCTGTTCTACGGAGTACCTTAGGAGTATGGAAATATCATTAAGAATAAAAACATATTATTTTAAAGATCTCACCATGAAAGTTAACCACAAAGTGCTTTACCTAATGAATCTAAGGTACGCTGAATAAAATCACATATTCATTTCAGCTGTACATATTTCTTTTTGATATTTTAGGTCATATACCAGATGGCAGAAAGCACTTATACATGATGACTTTTCCTAGATGTGCCAGCATATGCTGCTGAATTGCCTGTACAGAAAATCCTTGCTCATTGCAAGTCTCCCTGGAAGTATTTCAAACAAAGCACATCAATTAACATTTGTTTATTATGCCTCTGTGAGTATATGACAGTTTTTTATTTCTTTCCCAAATACCAGGCAACAGTTGGGTTTATATTGAATTTGTCAGATGAAAGGCTCACATTTAGGGATCTATTCAGAACTGTTTTTCATTTCAAATGTGCTTGTTAAATATCTCACCTCTCCTCGAACCTCCATTAAGCATCAAATTTTATGAATACATATAACAGGAATGGTAGATGATAGAATATTATTATGAATAAAAGTATAAGATACGAGAGTACATAACGTAGTTGGTAACAGATTTACCAGTGTTGTAGTTAAATTGAGGTAAGAAATATAAATTTTTATTCAACAATTTACCATATGAAACACAATTTAGTTTTAAAGCATAAAGAAAAAAATTCTTAATTTAATTCCATTATCATTCAAGCATATTCAAATCTGTATGAAATAATTCCTTTCCATTACAATGTACACTAATTTATGATTAAAATTATGTCCTACTGTGAGTAGGTAATATCTGACTATTTTCTTATACAAGGAAAGGTTCTGGAAGCAAGATGTTAGGAAAGAAAAGAAAGAATAAAGGTTGAAGGTTGTACTATAAACACAGTCATTTGCATTAACTGAAATAAGAGCGGATATATATTTCACTTTAGATAAAA